CAGTAAAATTGAAAAAAAAAAGAACATATCAGATAACATGAAACAGCATAAAAGCTTCTTGTTCATGACACGTTTGAGGGATACGGTATATAACCACTGGAGAGTAGGTAGTATGGCCCACATTCGTTGTGGCTACGGGGGGGTAACTCCAGGAAAATCAATAAACGGAAGGCGTCACTTGTGCATTCAAATTCCAACTACTGTACTGGGTATACGCTGTTTCACCGTTTCATGCATCACGTGTCGTTTCACCTGTCTGAAACAGTTTATTCTGAAGATAGGGCGATGCGCCAGAGGGGGGGGGGAGATAATAGGGGGATTTGGGGGTGAAAAAACATTATAAGGAGCATGAAAATGTTTGGAGAGGCTAATGGGATTAGCCGGCCCATGGGGTATTAGTCGATTTAATTTTGGTCGGGTTAATTGGCCCATTCAGCCACTAAATCCACCGCCTCCCACACCACCCATACGTGGTATTATGATCGTTTGGGAAATTGAAGAAGGTTTTTTAAGGGTGATTATCTTGATCGCGTGATTTTGGTTGGATTAATTGCGGGGATTGGGGTGTTGAGATGTAAATTAAGATAATTTGTGTTTTTCAGAGACTTTTTTTGTTTCTAATGGATTTCATTCCATTTTGGAATTAATTTTCGTTATTAATTTCAAATGGGAGTGAAGAGTAAGTCAAATTAATTTTTTTATACGTATTATGAAGATGTTTAACAGATATTTAACGTGAGATCATGAAGATATTTAGATATTAACCAAGAAAATAAATATCGACTCAAGTTAAAGAAAAAGAATTGTTTATTTTCAAATTTACCTGAGAAACTCTTGATTTTAGGAAAAAATGTCACAAGAAACTTTTTGTAGAGAATTAAATTTCCGACAAAAAATGGCTTTTCACATTTCCCCCCAAAACCACTCGTTACGTGAATAATTGCGCGATCATCAAGACGATTCTCTTCATTCTATCGGGTTTCACAATCGAATCCAGCGGATTAAATCGATTGAAAGACTATTGTTCTCGCTTAAATAAAGTTAATCGGCCTCCTTGTGGATTGAGAATGACCTCGCCTACATCCCCACCTCAGTAATGAGTATATTCAACCAATCCACGGGCATACGTCAAGTTCACTCAGCAAATCCAGTTCAATTTAACAGCTTATCTCACAAGCAGTGATACTCGCATAGCAATGCGCCTGCATAATGCATATTAAATTCATCCTCCCGGGGGAAAAATTCCCGAGATTTTTTCATGAATCGCGTAAAACAGATTTCCAAAGTATCCCGGCATTTTCCATTGGAATATACATCAAAGAATGCCCCCCTGGAATTTAATATGAACAGAATGACGCTTCCCCTTCCAGGAAATAGATCGAAAAAAAATAACTTCAGGTTCTTTCCCCTTTCTCAATAGTACCCTCGTGCTGTCAATAGGGCGATAGGTGAGAGGGCACTCTGCCTGCAAAAAGTGGCCACTTGGTTTCCACTTTTTTCCCTGCTGTCTCTCTGCTTCTCCACAAAGACCAGAGGCTAGCAGTGGAATAAAAAAAAAGGGAAAACTACTCATGTTTTCTTGGTAGTGCCACGAACCTGACAAACACTCGAATCAACGTGTTTGTTCGACCAAATGAAACAGTATCATATGTGCCATGCAATTAAAATATTTATATTGAAGACATTGCTGAATCTAACAAAGTAAAAAATTCAAGAAAAATTGAAATTGAAGGGGAAGAATACAACACCTTTTCTCTCATTCTGCTGATTAATTAAAAATCAAGAGATTGTAGACAGTATTGATGATAACACGTAATAAAGAATGATAATAAATTGAATGGAAATAAAATTATAGCGAATTGAAAAAAAAAATCTAAAATCTAAACCAAAAAGAGAAAATTGAGATACTGCAGCTCCTTTGATCTTGAGATTTGAGAATAAAAAAAATGAAAACTACTCACGTTCTCTTGGTGGTGCCGCGAACTTGACAAACACTCGAATAAACATGTCTGTTCGCTCAAATGAAACAACATCAAACGCGTCATGTAATTAAAGTAATTACATTGAAGCCATTGCTGAATTTAACAAAATAAAAAAATTGTAAAAAACTGAAATGGAAGAGGAAAAATATAACACCTTTTCTCTCATTCTGCTGATCAATTAAAAATTATGAGATTATAGGCAGTATTGATGATAACACATAATAAAGAATGATAATAAATTGAATGGAACTAAATTTACAGCGAATTGAAGAAAAAATCGTAAAAAAAAAGAACAATCACAACAATTTATGATTCAATTGATTATTTCCGAATTTTCTATATTAAAATAAAAGAATTGAGGTGCTGCAGTTCTTGAATCACTGCTGTATCCTGATTCATCGGATTAATCCGTGTACGTACCCGGCACGAAGGTGTCAGTCAGCGACGGCATGACTTGTAGTCACGCGGGCGTAGAATTTATTGACCACATGTGCATTTACCTATGCCTCCACGGTAAACGCGTTGTGCACACAGTTACAAGTGGTCATGAAACACATAGAGGAGGTCAACTATCAGATCTACTTAGGGTAATTGCAGAAATTGGGAAATTGGATAGACCTTGGTAACCCTATGATAATGAACTACTAGCGCGCCTCACTCCACTGACTCATGCGGAATTGACAATTTGTTTATCTTCATCTTCATCAGACTCATTCGACAAATAGCGAGGACAAATATTTGTTACAAGGGGAATATTGACGCTAATAAAACAACAATTTTCAGAAATTGAGAAGGGAAACATCTTTCTTCTTCAATTTTGCGTAAAAAAGGAGATTTTCAATTTTCAGAACAATATTCTCAATTTAAGGATATCCAAGTAGCTTTTGCAAACATTTTTTCAATTAAATTGCGTGAGAAAAATTTGAACAAAATCATGAATATTCAGCGTCATTCAAATTACATTTTACGCAGAATTATTGTTTTTAAACATTCGTTGTTTATAAATCAATAATTGAAATTGTTTAAACTTTCGGTAACTTTTTTTTAGGCATGAAATCGATTTCTGGTAAAATTCTGAATAAGAATAGATTTGTGACGATTCCGAATAAATGCGTTTTATGGTGGAAAATTGATTGCTTATAAATTATTTATAGAAAATGTTCGTAATTTTCAAAAATTACATTTTTTAGATTATTTCATCAATCTTCCTCCAAAAGTAAACTTTCTAATTTTTTTTCAGCTTTTGCAAAGTTTGAGTAGTAAAATCATTGTAAAATGTCCGGAAATTTAGAGTCAAACGGGGCTCAAATGAAAGCTCTAATGTTCGACTACAAAATGTCTACATGAAGTTTTAGAATTGTGTTTTTTCCTGCAATTACCATTTTTTATATATGAAATTAATTAACTCAACAATGCAATGATCGAGTCAATGAAGTAGTTTCATAGATAAAAATTAATAATTATGGGAGAAAACACAATTTTAAAAGTTTCCCCTTGAGAATAATTTTTCTTCATGTCTAGATCTTTGATTCTCTCAATAAATAGGAAAAAACCATTAATTGTTTCCAGAAGGAGACACCGCAATCCGCGGAGGAGAGGCAATTAGAATTGAACAGTGCAGCGGAGACTGAGATGCGATTGGCAGAGAGGCGTCGATTATTAACGGAAAGATGCTCCGAAGCTGGTCTAGATCGGCCTGGGAACGATTCACTCCACAAGCCAAATGCCTGGGAATTTTTTGTCAACCGAGACTACCACCTCATCTGGTGCAACGTATTCAAAGCAGCCTCCACCTCCTGGATCTACAATTTTAATAGACTAGCGGGGTAAGGCCAATCGAGCCGAGTAAACCTCTCCCATTTCTGGGTGAATAATTCATACAAAGAGATGTTCGCTGTTGAAAATTTTTGACTGAAATTTCCGGCGCACTTAAAATTTTATCGCATCTTAAATCCAACGGAAATTCAAAGGAATAGAAGATTCACCGTTTTATGGAAAAATCAATAGAATGAGCGACTTTCAGTTTATTTATTGCATAATAGGTGATGCAAATTGGGAAAATTCAGGGGAATATATTCTAGAATTTTGAATAAATTGGCAATTCGGCGTAATTTGACACTAAATATCTGTTTTTATGAAAAATTCAAGTAAATTGAGAAATTCTCTTCTCCTGCAGATGAAAATATTTGAAAGTTCACTGAGTTTTCAGTGAAATCTAAAATTTTATGATTGCTTTTCCTCCAAACCGAATTCAATGTCCCTCTCCTAAAAATTATAAGTCAACTGGCCATTTCAATGTTTTTCAAATCGTGTTACGTTTGCCCCAGGTACAGTCCCCAATTTTTAAAGGCCTCGAAGGCTGTGCCAGTGTCTCTAGCTCGACAGAGATATCCCAGGCCAACAGCGGAGGAGCTTGCCAGGTATCTCAACGACTCGGTGAGCTTCCTCATTGTCAGACATCCATTTGAACGACTACTCAGTGCCTATCGCGACAAACTCGAGCAGAGTCTACCCAACACACTTCACAGCAAGCTCGGAGTGAGGATAATTAACCAGTACAGGCCGAAAGTGAGTTGACTCTTTCATTAATTCGGGAAGCACTTGGGGTAGTTGTTGACCTGGTTCTTTGAGATTTAAAACATTTACACTGGGTTCTAGGATCCTAAGAACAGAATGAGACACGGGCCGAGGTATCCACTGTTTGAGGAGTTTGTCAGGTGGTTGCTTTGCGAGTGGCGCGCTGGTAATGAATTGGACATGCACTGGACACCGGTTCTACAGTTCTGCACACCCTGTCAAGTTAGATTTGATGTCATCGCCAAGTTTGAGACTCTTCAGGTGAGTTTCTAGAGTTTAAATTGAAAGGGAAATGCACGAGCAATTCCATAGAAAATCTCGGGAATTCGCGAGGAAATTCTATTGAATTTTTTCTGAACTTCTATTGAAAATTACACGAGTTTTTGGATAATTCAATTGAAAAATTTCTGCAGTTTAAATAGAAAATGTCCAATGGATACTGTTTATGGAAAAAATCAGTAGAATTTCACGTTTTTCTGCTACACGTAAATTTCCATTTTTTTTATTTGATTTTTCTCCTCTTCCAATTAAAAAAATATGAGCCGAGGGATTTTTCTAGAAAATATCGCACTACGAACCGTAGTTTCATGTTACTGATATAAATTAAGATATTTTTCGCATTTTTCTATTCACACTGTTCGAAAAAAAAATTAATTTTCTGGAGAGTGACGTTCAATTTGATTTAGGGAAAAAATAAATCATTAAATGTCAGATTTTACCAAAAATGTAGTGAGGAAATTCTCCAGAATTTTCTAATCAAAACCTCAAATTCCCCCTAATTTTCAATTCCACTATAAATTCGAGAATAAATTCACCTAAATTTTCCTGATTTCTATTGACTTTTGGAATAATTGAACTGAAATTTATAGTTTCCATGAATTTTTCCCTAAAATTTTGGATTTTTAACGACAAATTTCTATGAAATTCCAGTGAAGCTATAATACAATAAAATTTTCCAAAAACTGTAACAGAAATTTCAGCCATGAAAAATTTTTCTCAATAAATTTTTCGGTTTCAAGGGGAAATGTCAAGAGAATAATTCAATAATCCTCGAAATGTAAATATTTATCTTTAAGTAAACATTTCTCCATTCCAGGAGGATCAAAATTATCTCATAAAACACGTCCACCTGGAGCACATGATCCGCCCAGAGTGGAAAAATCCAGCCAGAGGTGCACAAACCAGAGACGTAATGAAGACATACTTCATGCAATTATCCAAAAGTCAAATTGCTGATTTATACGACATGTTCAAGTGAGTGATTCACCCCCTCCCAATCCCAATGTCACATTAACTAATCCCCCTTTTCCCCCCGGCAGGTATGACTTTGAACTTTTCGATTACTCACCAGACGAGTATCTGGCGATCGGCAGAGACGAGTCCACCACCTTCGAGTGTAAAAATGCCAGGGTAACATCAATTTAAATTAATCAAAACTACGTTCATCGAACAACGAAGAGAGTACGTTAACGATAATTCGAGTTTTCCAATCCCCCCCCCTAAGCTTTTTCGCCTCGTTAGGACAATTATTTCATCGGTCAATAATTCATTACAATTGTAATTGAGTGAGTCGCACATATCGGACTTAATTTAAGTAGCTAGAATTTCTCAAACAAATTAAACGCCCATGAACAATGGCGCAATTAGCATCAAAGACGCTCTGTGAATGCACAAATAAGCCTGTTAAACTATAATTTTAAGCACTAGATTGTTAATCTCAGTTGAACAATGCCTCATTGCATTTTCATGACATTTTTATTCCTGTATGATTCTTACGGCGACATTTTTTTATTGCATTTAGTTTGATTGAATGATCGCAAATGATCCTGGAAGTTCACATCTACTTTGTTACTATTAAAACCATTGGATACATTGCAATAGTGCCTCAGAATTCATCAACGCATTACGTAATTTAATAAAAGATGGCCTAATTTAATTACGAGAGTCATAATCTCACTGTATTAACCATTAAAAAATGGCAATTGAACCGAAGTTAATTGCATTTTTTCGACGATTAAAACCTAGGAGTTTCGAATGTGAAAACAACTGAGAGAGCGACCAAAAATGAATGAATATAAATTGATATCTAGATGTTAATCAACTTAATGTCGAGCTAGTAGTTAATTCATACATTAATAAAGAATTGTTATTCAGTTGTAAATATGTAAATGTAAGGATACCTTTAAAAATATATGTTTTACATTAGAAAAGTACAAAAGAGGATTTATTATTTTCTGGGAATGACGGCAGGAAGTTGTGAGCACAAGGACGAATGTGAAGAAAGCAGAGCCTCGCAATTATCGTGGAAATAACAGGCTTGTGTCGCATGAGCTGCTATTATGCAAGACCAGACAATCACGACTTCCGAATGTTTTTTTCTATCATTTTTTCGTCTCGGGGTGACAAATAGTAATTTTAGACGGCAAATAGGAGCGACACGTGAGCAATATTCAGCTGAATAAGGAAATTAAGCTGATTTTAAGGAAATATTGATAAATTTTTATTGCAGGCGATAAAATTCTTCGTAAACAAATTCTCATATTTTTCTTGATATTTAGGAATATTTCAGCGGCGAAGTGGTAAAACGGCTTAAGTCGACTTATCTCCCAGCTGAGTTTTTGAGGAATATTTCCGAATCTAAGGGAGATAGCGAAATTTTCGTAATTACATTAGTCATGGTTCTTAATTGGCTCTATAAAAAAGTTTATAACAAAAATTTTGATATCTCCCTTAGATTCCGAGATATTTATTGAAAACTGGCCAATAGTCAAAATTGACTTGAACCGTTTTACCACTTCGCTACTGATTTGTAGAAATGGTCTTCTGTGTAACACGTCATGCGTCAAATATTTATTTGTGAATAACCCCTTTGCCTTGAGAACAAGTGATCCTAGATATCGTACAACGTTTTTATTATGCAAGACCTGACAATAATGACTTCCGAATATTTTTTTATCATTCAGTCGTGAGTTTGGTTGACAAATAGTAATTTTGGAGGGTAAATGGTCGAGAGATGCGTAAAAAATTCTGTTGAATGAGGGTTTTAGCCTGATTTCACCGTAATAGTTAATAAATGTCAATTATTATTACAATAATTACTGATAATCATCATAAGTACCCATCGATAGGCACAAGTTTCTCTTTTTCCTCCCTATTATCAGTCCCATAAATGCAAAACTAGACCAAGAAATTTATGAATAGAATGCACTGGACTGAATAACAAAAACACTAGCCTCGCATTATTGTTATGCAATTCGCCAGTGTCGATTCGGGAACAATATTTTCCCTGTTTTCGTTATCACTTGATACTCGTGTGCACCTCGGACACTATTACCCGCAGTGTGTCGTGTGAAGTGGAACATTTTTAACGTAACCAGGACATTTACACGATTATTGGGGGCACAATGACACTGGAGGCGAATCTATTGACGAAGTCCAATCCCCGGGGTTTTCATCGTCTCCTGACTGTGCGAAGGGTCACGTTTGTCATGGGAATTTTTTTGTTAATGATCTTGGCTATCTACCATTACGTCTCCGTCACGGATAGACATTTAAATGAGTTGAGTGAGGTAAGTGGAAGGATCAACCGCATTTTAAAAAAATTTGTGACTGAAATTTTCGGTAAACTTTTCCAGTGAAGTGTTTATCACATTTATTTCCACGGAAATTTCAAGGAATTTCATCATTACAAATTTAACATTTTGTGGAAAAAGCAATGGAAACTGCAGAATTCGATTCAATTATTTAAATTCATTAAAATCAGGAGAATTCAGATGACTGTTTTTTCCAATTAATTGAAAATTCAGGGTAATTCGGCACTGATTATTCATGTTCTCCGTAAAAACTCAAGGAAATTGGACAATTCTCGTCATCACAGAGAAAAAAATGTCTCCAATTGCTAAGGACTCGCGATTGTAAAAGACGAGTGCTAAATTCTGAAATTTAGAGATTTTTACCCCAATTTTTAGATCACTAATTTTTTATGATAATTACTGATGATCAGGGTTATTCTATCCAGAGTCTATTTTTTAAATTTGAATCATTCAAACCGCGTGGTTAATTCTGATAAAAAAATCCAAAATTATTGGTCATGGATTTCTAAAAATTAGTGACATTTTTCTAAAAATGAATTTTTTCTCTCTACCTGCTGCTAAAAAATTTGAAATTTCATTAAATTACCAGTGACATCTTCAATTTCATTATGTCCCCCCCCTCAAATTCAATTCAATGTAACTTTCCTAAAAATTATTACTGAACTATTCATTAAACTTCAATTCTTTTCTAATAGTAAAAGCTGTTGAGAAATTACTGGCGATTTTGTGAACAGTATCAGGTGGTGTTGCGATCACATCTCGGTGAGACAGACGACGAAGTGAGGACTCCATCAGTAAAACCAACAACAATAAAAGTGATCCCAAGAATTAATTACGAATTGAGAGGGAAAGAGGAGATGGAGGCGGAATTTCTGAGAAGAGGAGATCACGTTAAACAGAAATGTAGAGAGTTGGGACTCATGGGGAGAGGGAAGAACGTGCCGCAGCTGAATGCGCAGGAGTTTTTCATCAACTATGATTATCATGTTATCTACTGCAGTGTTTTTAAGGCTGCGTCGACCTCGTGGTTATACAATATGAATTTATTAGCTGGGTAATTCGCGTTTTATCGTAATGCTTGATGTGTTCTTCAGTTATTATTGCTTCAGGTCTGTTTTCATTCTAGTGTTCCCGCAGAAGATTTGAGGAAGAGTTTGGAGTCGATATCTCCAGTGAAAATGGCGAGGAAAAAATACGCGAGACCTTCGCAATCGGAACTTTTGAAGGCTCTCGATAAAAACCTCAGTTTTCTAATCGTTAGACATCCTTTTGCACGATTAGTCAGGACGTATTATGATAAATTTGTTTTGGAAGGGGATGACAAGTTCTATCAGGAGGTGGGACTGAAGATCATAGATAGGACGAGGCTCGAGGTACACAGAGGGAAAAGTTGGAGAAAAGTTGGTGACAGATTACCAAAAATTAGGGATGGGTTCTGAAAATCAGTAGCAAAATCACGGAATTTCAAGGTTTTGCTTCCACTGAATTTCAACATCGCGAATCCCCAACAATTGGGGATGAATCCCTCATTAAAAGTCAGTGAGATGTCCTCATTATCTGGGAATCATTGACATGTTCCTGAAAATTAGCGAGATGTCCCCGAAAATAATTTTTTTCTGTGAGCGTCTCGCCGCACTTTTTTCAATTTTTCAAATCACACTACAGTAAAGCCTCAGAAAAATTTGAAAAAATTTGACATCTAATTTTGAAGTGTCTGGAAGCCCTATCAATGAAAATATCCGCCAAAAATATCATAAGTAGTTAGATTTTCACATTTTTATTCGGAAAATCCAGGCCGCGTATAAGGAGAATTTTTTGTATCGCGTATGAGGCGAATTTTTGCTGTGAGCTTTTATATAATTAAGGGTAACACTGAACATAAAAAATTTCACGGAATTTCTTCGAGTAAACGATCTAGATCACTCTTAATTTTTTTCAGCTTTTCCATAGATCTTTCAAATTTATCACTATTGATTTACGTTGACGCGGCGCGGCGCTTACGGCGTTCGTAACTATTGCGCGACCAACGGAGTGTTAAAGATGAATTTCGCCCCCGATTACTTGATTTGTTTGGTAATTGATCCCCAACTTTTTTCTCCCAGTCTGATTGAGGAATTGTTTGAGGGTATGAATTGGGAGATTATTCTTGGTAGTATTTTGGATAGGATGATCTGACAGCTAGACTAAAGGTAATGGACCATGAGGGTCTCCCTCCGACGCTCAAACAGACGGATCTCCCTCCGACGTTCGAGGAACTCGTCAAGTTTGCACTTTGCGAGTGGAGGGATAATAAACCCCAGGATGAGCACTGGAAACCCATTACGAGGTTCTGCACTTCTTGTCAAGTACCCTTCGACTACATCATCAAGTTTGAAACACTTGAGGTATTATTGAATGGTTGGAAACTATAATGCGATGTCGATATTTTTGGAAATTGTTGGTTTTTGTGGAGAGAAATGAGGGTTTAGGAACACGAAAAATAATTGAATTCTCAATTTTTCAAAACGTGGCTTCATACTCTTCATCGAGATAGTTCAATGTTTGAGAAGTGAGAAGTTTTCCTTTGTGTGTAACATATAATAAGCCAGATTAATAGTAACTGATTAATAATTGATAAATCTCCTCAGCAAGCCTCAAAAATCAAATTCCATTATAAAATAATCAATCCCAAATACTAAATTAACTCCTCCCCAGGAGGAGGAACAAGTCCTAATAGAACGCGCAAACCTCCAAGATGTTCTAAAACCCAAATGGGAGGATAACTCATCGAGTGAAGAGATTGAAGACCTAGAGCGAGAATACTTTTCCCAACTGTCCAAGCGACAGATTCTCGAGCTTTACGAATACTATAAGTAAGTAGGGGAGAGCAGGGCAATACGTTTATAATTTCTGATTTTTTAAAAATATTAACAAAATGAAAATAAATAAAATATCAATATTTTATTAATTTTTATTTTTTTAATATTAATAAAATAAATAAAATAAAAAATAAATTCGTTCACGTGTTGATGAAATCGGATAATTTTCCTTCCCTGTAAAATACAATTCTTTCTCTGTCTAGTGACTCCAGACTGAGTTCAATTTATGATTTAATTTCTGAGTTATGAATATTAAAAAAAGCCAAGTGTCCATTCTAGAACAGTAGGGGAGAAATTCACCCAGTTAGGTCCAGGTGATAATTAACACTCAATCGTAATTTCAGGGCTGACTTTGAGCTGTTCGAATATTCAATGGACAAGTACCTAGCCTACGGCCAGGACGTGCCCTTCGTGTCTCTCCCCTGTCGCCAAATTCCCCCCTCAAGACCTCGAAAATAATAATAAGGACTCACCGGGACGACGTGTTCTGAAGATCGACTCCAATGACCCACTTGTCATCAACAACTCGTTGCCAGACTCCAGTGACAATCAACGCCTGTGTTCCCACACTTTTTTTCCTCCTCTGACGTTTCGACACCGGTACGCCAGCCTCATCATAATGCTGAATGGGAACACAAGAAAAAATTTCATAGAAAACATCTAGCGGATTCGATAGAAAATTGTAGGGAATTTCTGTTGAACTTCTGCTAAAAATTCTATTAGGCTTTAGGTATTCCTCAAATCTATTGAAAAATTCTGCAGAATTCCATCTCTCTATACAACTTTATCTATAGGAATTCCTCGACATAATTTTTTTTAAGTTTTCCCACTTTATTTCACATATAAACAAGTTTACTGAACTCTAGCGTTTTCTGTGAAAAATTCTGTTGTAGTTCTATTAGAATTCCATGGAAAGTTATGCAATTTCCCCAAGTTTTTTCCTTGGATTTTATTATGAGAAACAAATAAAAATTGCTGAAAAAACTTGAAAAATTTACCCCCAAGAATTTCTGTAAAAAAAAAATCTATTGACTTTTCTCCATCAAATATCTCTTAACAAAATGATATCGTTGCCAGACTCCAGTGACAATCAACGCCTGTGTTCCCACACTTTTTTTCCTCCTCTGACGTTTCGACACCGGTACGCCAGCCTCATTATAATGCTGAATGGGAACACAAGAAAAAATTTCATAGAAAACATCTAGCGGATTCGATAGAAAATTTTAGGGAATTTCTATTGAACTTCTGCTAAAAATTCTATTAGGCTTTAGGTATTCCCCAAATCTATTGAAAAATTCTGCAGAATTCCATCTCTCTATACAACTTTATCTATAGGAATTCCTCGACATAATTTTTTTGAAGTTTTCCCACTTTATTTCACATATAAACAAGTTTACTAAACTCTAGCGTTTTCTGTGAAAAATTCTGTTGTAGTTCTATCAGAATTCCATGGAAAGTTATGCAATTTCCCCAAGTTTTTTCCTTGGATTTTATTATGAGAAACAAATAAAAATTGCTGAAAAAACTTGAAAAATTTACCCCCAAGAATTTCTGTAAAAAAAAAATCTATTGACTTTTCTCCATCAAATATCTGTTAACAAAATGATATCGTGAAGTTGTATAATTGTCTATAGAAATGGCGCAAAAGCCAAACAGTGGCACGAAAAACACATTCTCAATTAAATTCTAATAAAAATTCACGAGAAGTCTTACTGGCTTCCAAGAGAAATTGAATAGAATTTCTTAGAGAAAGCTATTAAATTATTTTTCTATCCCATTTTTTCACGTTTTATTTTCTCTTCATAAAAAAACATCAGACAAAAAAACCTGAAAAATTGAAGCCAGGATTTATTTCTATAGAAAATATTTCAATAGAATAAATTTTATAGATGAAATAATTTCCACTGATTTTTTCCACTAAATATTTTCCACTGAACGTTTCATTTTCCTACAACTCCGATACAATTTTTCGTACGTAAATAAATGATTGAGGTTATGAAACACGTTTTATCGAATGAACCCCTCACCTCGCAATCGGTGTCGGAGGTGGAGCTGTCAGGGTCGTAGTACAGAGCCTTTCTGTGGAGTTTCTCGAGGATTTTATCAGTGACGAGCTTAATTTCATCGCTCTGCCTCTTTCCACGCTCGATTTGCTCCTCAACCTCATTCAACTGTCTTATCAAGTTCTCCTCGACGGGATTGTACGTCTGTGGGAGTTCGATTATCACGTCCTCCTCTTCGTTCAGAGCGAAGACATCCTCGTCGTCAGTGTCCATTGTCAGAAATTGTTTATTTGGAAACTGATGGTTGATAACAGAGCAGGCCTGCTCCAATGTTTTGACGGATTGTTTACGTTTACGAATGGGAATAGCGTCGGTATGGTAGAAATTCCGAGTGGCCATTAATTCCCACCGGCCATTTTGTCGCGCGAAAAGATGTCGTGGAAAAATGTAAGAATTCTAGTGGACTTTTAATGAACTTCTATTGAAAATTCTATTCGTTTCTGGGCGATTGTAGTGAAGAGTTCCACAGCGTTAATGCGGATTGTGTTTAAAACAAAAATGTTCAATAGAAACTATTGTAGAAAAACTTCAATTGAATTTTATCTTTCAGTACAACTGTTTCTATTGATGCATTTTTTATAGAAATTATTTCTGAAGTTTTTTCCACTCTATTACTCTTATTGTCGCATTTGAAAAGTGAAACAAAAAAATCTTTCTACAGAATTTTTCATTTAATTTATTCTATTGAGATTTTTTCTATAGAAATCTATAGATTCCTACAGAAAAAAATAAAAAACAGAATTTCTATAGATTTTTTTTCTATAGAAATCTCAATAGAATAAATTAAATAGAAAAATAGAATTCTATTAATTTTTTATATAGATTATTTTCCATTGAACATTTCGAAGGAAAAAAAATAATAGAAAATTCACTAGAAATCCTATAGAATTTTCTGGCAAAAGCGCTAGGTTTTGATTTGGGATGATTTAGGAGTGTAATTTTATAATTTAGAAACTAACAGTTTTCCTTGTAAAAAATTATTTTTCATACGACATTCATAGCGAGAACTTTATTATTGAATAAAATGAGTGAAAAATCTTTTACAATTATCCTTCTTCCTCACAAGATTGTAAAAAATTCCATAAGAGTTCATCTCTTCCATAAAAAAAGAATGAATAACTGTAATCATAAATTTTAAATGGCATTTTGTTGAAACCCGAGCAGCATCGCTTGCACAACATCCCCTGCAAGCATCTCCCCCCGATCATCAGTCCTCCCCGGCAGCATCAGGAGTGCATTCGCATTTTTGCAACTGAGGAGTTTACTGCTGATTTGATTGCCAGTACTGTAGGCTTTGGGCATTGGATCCTCCTCTGACCACATCAAAATGGCCCTTGCATATTCAGGACGAGAATCCAATTTGTATGAGGATGTCAACTGCACAGAGTGGAAATGGAAATGATTATTTTTCCAAAAAGAGGGGTAGTGCAGCGATGAAGAGATAGAAAATCTTACAGAATAATCTATCGAATTCCATAGAAAATTCGATTAGTTTTTGGCCGATTCTATTGAAAAATCCCTCAGTTTTATTGTGCATTTTGTGTAGAAAACCTCTAATAGAAACTCTTTAATAGAAAAAATCATTAGAATTTTCACCTTCACTTTTTCTACAGGAATTCCTCGACATGAATTTCCTAATTTCTTTGCATTCTATTTTTCTGCTCTTTTCATAAAAAAAAGCCTTCGAAAATTTGAGCCGAGGAATTTCTATAGAAAGCATCTCAATAGAAAAATAAATAAAACACTTGTACATGAAAATCTAATTCGATTGATTTTTTTAATAAAATATTTTCCATTGAATATTTCAATTGTAAAAAAACCTGCTAGAATAGACCAAGAACTATGAGAAATTCAATCGAATTTTCTAGTGAATTCACTAACTGTTTCAAAAAAAAAATTTCGTACGTATCTCCTGTTTTATCTCTTCACACATGAATTGTGACGAAATAGTATATTTCTACACAACTACGATGATTTTTGTCACATAAGCCTAAACTATTTTTTGTCAGTGATATTACTTCAGCAAGAAACTACTTTATATTTACAACTGACCGAAAACCCACAATTCTCAACAAAAACATATCCAAACAAGTAATTACCCGAGCCCGAACGACAACGGGTCTGGCATAATTCCCGGCCAACCGATGCAGCAAAGGAATAGCGAACAGGTGCGAAGTAACAGTAGCAGAGACTGGGTTACCAGGCAGGCACACAAAGTACTTGATCTTTCCATCGTACTGGCAAGTGGCAAAAGTCGTGGGTTTCCCCGGTTTCATGTTGACCCTGCCGAAGTGAATGTCAGCCTTGAAGACCTGCGTGAGAATGGGCTTGAGCATGTCCCTGTCCCCCATGGAGACCGATCCAGTGGTGACGAGGACGTCCACGTGGCTCAGAGCCTCCTTGATCGAGTCGATCATGACGTTCTCGTCGTCAATCGCAATCCCCATGTCCTTGGGGGCATACCCAAACTCCCTGAACAGCATCATGAGGGTGATCTTGTTGCTGTCGTACACGTGGCCAGGTCGGGGCTCCTCCCCCGCCTGCTGGAGCTCATTTCCAGTCGAGAGAATTCCGATCGTCGGGAGCTTCGTGACCTTGACCTTCGTGCAGCCACAGGCGGCTAGAATGCCGGCTTCAACAGCTCCGATCCTTGTGTGGCGTTTCAGGACGAGAGAGCCTTCCTCGATGTCGCTGCCTACGGGTCTGATGTCTTGGTGCTCCTTCGGGGCGACTAGAATCTCGATTGTTTTCTCTTCCTTTCCGTCCGCGGTTTTCTCCAGGAGTTTCGTGTCCTCCACTTGGACGACCGCTGTTGCCTCCTCGGGGACTGGGGCACCTGTGTTGACACGAACGCAGAAGCCTGGCTCCAGTTTTATGGAGCCTGGCTAGAAGCATTCGTTGTTGATTGACTCATTTTAATGCAGAGCTGATTTTTTCTCTCAGCGTCGAATGAACAATTTATTTGATCCAAATGGATTATTATTACACATTTTTAGAAATTTTTGGCTGAAATTTCTATAGTTAGTATAGTTCTTGGACATTTCACATTATAATTTCTCTGAAATTTCAAGGAATTTCGTCATTGAAAATTCAAAAAATTGACAAACTCCCGTCCTTTTTTTAACGCATTTTGGTTTCACTGTCTAAGGAATACTTCAATTTGTAACTCATAAAGCTGTTATTGAAATAAAATAAAATTTATTTAAATTGAATTTTAAAAAATGAAGCCTAGTTGAAGGGAAGTTGAGCTCAAACAATTTCTGTTTAAAATAATAGAAATAATGATCTTGAAAAAGTGGAAAATAAAATGAAAAATCGATTTTATTTTCTCAAAAAATGAAAATGAAGCGAAAAATCAATTTTTGTTTCTTCTCACCGAATGCCCAGCTTCAAGGCCCCCCAGCACTCGCCTCTGTCCGCCTCCATCGCTCGCAACAACTGCATATCCATCTTTGATGGAGGCCCTGAATGGCGGCAGATCACATTGAGCCCGAATATCCTCCGAGAGGATTCTCCCGTGGCAGTCCCACAAATCCACGAATTCGTTCTCCCCTTGCCAAGTGTATCTGTTGATGATTTCCTCTGCTTCCTTCATGGATATCATGTGGTAGGGGGATTCCCTCAAGCGACCGGCCACGTGCCCCAAATTCAGAGCGATTGTCCCATTCTCCGAATGATGTCTGCATCCGCTGTTCTGAACGTGCTCATGGGTTTCTTTGATCTTTGGTTTTGAATCCAGGAGAAGATCGACTGCGTGGGGGATAGTCATTGCGATCGCATCGAGACATTCCCGAGCAGCTTTCGGCGATCCGGGGAGGTTTATTATCAGGGTCTTGTTACGAATGCCACAGGCGGCTCTATAATCGATTGATGATGATCGAATGATGATTAATGCATCGCAAAGACTTTTGTCCAAAGAACATATCCATATAAATTTTAGATTAAAAAAATGAGGTTTTCGAGATATTCTCATTTGAAAAAAAATAGTTTCATACATAACTCAGCTAAAAATGGAGCCATTGCCTGTTACCAACGATTTTTTGGAAGATTTTCTCACATATTTTGAGAAAGTCGATCTTTTTTGCAGTCATTCCCAAAATTGGAGTGTACAGAACCGTTTTTTAAATTCGGGTCAGAAATATCGAAAAAACGTTGAAAATTGAAAAAATCATAACTTTGATATGAATCAATATTAAGGGCTGAAAATTTAGGAACGTTTTTTTTTTAAGTCGCTGATATTGGAAAAAAATCGGCGACCAAACCCCGACATCCATTTCTTTTTATTATAGTAATGCGAGAAAGATTTGAAACGGCCCGTTTCGAAATGTCGGCGATCTTCCGAACGCAAAATCATCAATTTTTAGCCGAATTTTTGCAAAAACGAACTTCTGACGTTGAAACCATCGACTTTTTGCTTTTGAGCAACAACTATTCGGCACTCGTTTGGTCCTTCAACCCCATTTGTTACCTTCTTCAGATATCAGTAATAGTACCTAGACAGTGCAGCCATAGGAGTAATCTTCAAACTAGCCGTCAACATGGCGAGAGCAATTCCTGGGGCTTCCTTCTGAATAATCTTCTTCGTAGCTTCCGGAGTTACATCTCTGGGCGAAAAACCGGTGCCCCCAGTCGTGAGGATTACATTCACCCTCGCCTCGTCCGACCATTTCGTCAGGATTTCCTGGAATTTCACCCAGAAGTGGAGGATTTTTTTAGCAACAACCGTAATAGTTCTTTACCATGATGGAGAACTCATTGTCAGGCACAATGTTAACTTCAGCAACATGTCCCTTGATGATTCTTCCACTGTCTGTGCTGTGGTCGGTTATCAGACGTATCAATTCCTCTCCACTTCTGTCTTCTGTTGGATCACGAGCGCAAGTGTCACTGACTGAAAATGTAAACAACGATTTTCTCCAGGTGTTTAACCTCAAACAGCACCCCGTTTCGTTCTTTCATCATTAAAATATTAAATTTCTCCTTTTATGCATTAAAAAAATAGCTTTGAAAAGCATTTTTGGAATAAATATCGTATGAGCTGGCAATGAGGTTGAAAAATCTTCACTTACTGGTCAATATTCCGAATGTTATTGGAGCCATACTGTCGCTTTGCTCCTCAAATCCACTCCTCACAAACTGATACGCCTTCCAGCCAAGTAATTACGCAATTACGATAAGGAGTCAAGTAGATTAACCATCTCCAGAATCAAATCTACCAAATGAGCAGAGAAAATGATTTTATGTCCTTGATTCAAGACTGGCGAAGCTGTTTATTAGTCTAAACGTGGTCGAATAGTGTCTAAATGACTTGTATTTTTAACTTAATTGAAATCTTTTTCTCTCTTTAAATTGTCTTGCGAGATTGTTAATGAAAATAACAATGATAATTATGATGAAGGTATGTGATGACAGCTATGGGACTGTTATATGGCTCATGTCATTGTTTACTTTGTACAACATAATGTGCAGTTAATAAACTTCAATCAATCAATCAGACTCATGATATCCTGGTATATACTTTATTGTGAAAAAAACACAACGCCGATCTAGACCCCAAGGACTCTACAATAAATTGAGCCCTCGTGGTTCAAAAAAATTTCTTACTGATCTAGCAACAATTTTAGGAAGATGATAAAAGTTCAATTAGAGTGAGAGATTTAATAGATTTATTGGCATTCCTCGGGTGTAATGTTGATTTGTGTTTGCTTCAATAGTCGACTAGTCCCCTGAGGAAGAGAACAAGATAAAATGATGAATTAATTCGGAAAATTGAATGCACCTGATTACTTCATACCTGTTATTACTTCGAGGACTCAGCGATCGTGGAGAGGAGTCACGATGTCGTCTCCTAGAGTCCTGTCGACTCTTCTCCCTGTCGTCGTACCGATCTCGCTCTTTATCCCTCTCCCTGTCTCTGTCTCTGTCCCTATCCCTATCACGTTCTCTCTCTCTATCTTTCTCTCGATCTCTTGTCCTGTCTCGATCATTATCAACATCTATTCTCGAATCACGATCACGTCTTTCTCGTCTTCGTGGTGGAGTTCGCACAGGGCTTGGAGATCTTGATAATGACGAGCGGGAGTCTGAACTGTGGCCTTCGTATCTGTGCCTTCGTTCACGTTGTCTGCAAATAAAAAAAATTAAATATTATTCACAATAAATAAAAGATATAGATAAATTTTTTTAAGAACAAGTCATTCTTTTCTTTCACAGATGGAAAATTTCGTAGAAAAAATCAGTAGAATTTCAGCTTTTACACATTTTTTTCTATTGAAACATTTTCTATAAAAAGTTCTCAACATGAATTTTTCCATTTTTTCCTACTCTATTTTTCTTCTTTCGTTAGGGTTTTCTTTTAATTTGAGAGGAAAACAATGAGAGAATTCTGTTGTCTGACAACTAATTCTCTCCAAAAATGTGTCTTGATAGTTTTCCATAGAAATTTACTCACTTTCTTCTCAGTTTCAAAGACATTTCTCGAATTTCATCCTCACGATCTTGTCTCTGTTGTTCCATCTTTTCAATTCTTGCCTGTTCAGCTTTTTTATCAGCTTTATCTAAAATTAAACATCCAAATTATCGTCTTCTTTTTCTCTCCAATGAATTTTTACAGTTGAAAAAAACTCACATTGACGATTCAACAAGGCTTGCATCTTCTTCTTAAGCCGCTCCTGAGGTGTGATTTTCACCGACTGAAACACATAACACTTGAGAAAAACAAGTTCCACCCATAAAAATCCATACAACAATGAAGATAATTGTCAATTAGAGATAATATGCAACAACTATTCTACTGCAGCCCTCACACGCAAAACCCCTGTGACCCAGTACAGAAGACGTCACACAGAATTTTACAAATAAATAACAGACATGACATAAAATGAAAATAAATTGAATCAATGGCACTGTCTCGTCCGCATTTGTCCACCAATAAACTAACGGTGAAGTAATTGTTTTGATATTTTTGAAAGGGAAAATGTTTTGTATCGGTTCGCTTGTGCATTTTCAAAGTGACTAAAGAAGCGTTACGGTTCTTACTGACTTTGTGTCCGGCACCAGAATTTGTACTTAACCCTGCTTTTGGCTTGTTCCTGCATAAAAACAGAAAAAAAAACCAATTAAAAAAATTCAGGATTTTTAGTCTTGTTTTAAAAATGATATTTTTCATATTCGAGGATAATTTTGTCATTTATAACTGATGGAAGAATGTGATACTAAAATTACTGATAATTAATAAAAATTAGGGGCAGTAGCTTTGACGAAGAGGAATGAACAAATTTTTTCTTATAAACAGGCTTTCATGGGATTTATTTAAAATAATAATTCACCTACTGGAAGATGCCAAAAATAAACATAAAATTTCATTATTAAAAATCAAGTTATTTTGAGTGCTTGTAATTTTGAACAGCCATCCTCAATAAAAATGTCACTTCTGCCATGAAATTTCATCAATTATTAATATTGAAATAATTACTTCCACTGAAACTTACACGTTTGTACTAATATTTGGTGGTTTTGGTGCATCATGCAAATTCTTGTCCTCGTTATCAGACAATTCAAGCTCTAAACTCGACGATTTCCCGCGTCGACCATAATACCTAGGCAAAAAAGGCATAGATTAATTTTTTTCCATGAAAAATGCGATCTTCTCTTTGTAATGAATTTAGACTGCATTAAATCAGTGAATTTATCATTAAACTACGAGCATCTAACAAAATGTTAACTCTTCATGTTTCCCCCACCCTCCCCTAGTTGTCACTCACCCTAAAATAAAACAAATTGAATCAATCCGCATTAAAGAAACGGATCAGAAGTTCTTTGATTTTTCAACTTCATTTCAACTTCTGTAAAATTACTCAAGAATGTTTTCCAATTTTCCGTCATCTGATTCTATTCTAAGCCAGGATAAAATAATACCTGGGCAACGCAGAAGTCTTATTCTCAGGACTCCGTGACCTCCTAGCAACGCTCCCCCTCGTCTTGCTCTTGGACCTCGACTTGGACCTCGCCGGGCTCTTACTCCTGGACCTCGACCTGCTCTTGCTCTTGGAATACCGCACCTTCCTCCGCTCCCCAGTGGATCTGCTCCTCGACCTGCTCCTAGACTTCGACCTACTGCTGGAGGAGGTGCTCCTAGACCGCCTGCCCCTCGACCTCGACCTGGACGAGGACGACGACCTCGACCTGCTGTTGCTCCTCCTGTGCCTGGACCTATTCCTCCTCGACCTGCTCCTCGTCCTCGACCTGAACCTCCTGGATCCCCTCCTCCTCCTGGACCTAGAAACACTCCGCCTCCTGTCCCTCGACCTGTACGACCTCGATCGATTTCTGGATCGACTCCTAGACCTCGACCTGCTGATCCTCCTCGCTCGATCATTCACAGGACTCTCCGACCTCCTCCTCCTCAAGTGTGAATAATTGACTTTCTTGGCAGTCGAGGGCGTCACCTGGGAGCAACTCCCCTGCGCCTCCTCCTCCCCCCCAAAGCTCGTGATGTAAGTAATCTGTCCAGCATTCACTGGCGAAGCAGATCTGGATCGAGACTTGGAGGATGACTTCCTGTAGGGATTGTACTCTGGGCTCTCTCGAGCCGCATAACTGGGGGGACTCATCACCCTCCCAATCATCTTCTTCTCTCTGAAGGCCCGACGCTCCCTCCTGGATCTCCTCCCGGAGTACATGGCCTTCTCCTCCTCCTGCTTCCTGGCTTGTCTGAGGGTCTCAGCTTCCTCAAAGTCCTGCGTCAGGAAGCTGAAGTAGTCAGCCCCCATGAGACCGTACTTCTGCGCCACTTGGTTCATCTCGTGCGCCTGCGAGGGCTCGATCTGGGAGACGTCGACGCAGATGTCCAGGTCTATATCACTGTCCTCGTCGTCAGGTTTTTCTTCCGAGGAGTTTGCGTCCGGACGAATGGCCTCTTGAATGGGCTCGTCTGTCTCGTAGTTGTAGCCAATTGCTGCGTTGTTACTCGATTTCTTCTTGTCCTTTATTGAGTCCGGCTTCGTGGAGGAGCCAAACTGCTCTTCCAGGTGGATCTGGTGGAGGAACTTCTCCTCGGTTACACCGAGAAACTCGTTCTGCACGATTATGCGGTAGCGCTCGTAGTTTATGTGTCTGTCCTCACTCGTCAGGGCCACGTCCATGTCGATTGTGTTGGGGGGCTCGGGGATCCAGTCCAGGTGGGCGCGGACGTCGAATCTGTCGATTAGGTTGTCCTCGTGACCCTGCCAGGGCATCCTAGTGGGGGAATGAGTTATTTAGCAGGTTGTCTGGGTTAATTCGGTCATGGGGATTCTCTTTTCCTCTTTTAAGAGAAGAATGTAACGTTTTTGGCTTGCAATCTATTCCGGCATGCTTGACTTAGGATTATTTCCATCATAAACTTGAACATCTCACACATAATAGGAAAATTTCTTAATATCAAAATAAATAAATGTACAAAAATAGATATATATATATATATATATATATATATATGTATATATTATTATGGAATCGAATAATTTAATCAATCCTCTTCCCCTCTTTTGTACAATAAAAGGTTGATTGTCTCTCTCTAATGTTGGGGTTAACTTAATTTATTATTGATTCCTGAGAACTGTCAATAAATATGCCCCTTTGACTGATCCCGAATTATTACTCCTTTAAACACAACAATATATATGTTTAATATCATTTTTTTATATAAAAAAAAAAATATAAGTATGAGAAAACCTTATATAGTTATTTTTATGAAAAAATATGTTCATTTTATTCATCTTCACTTTCAATAACTAATTTAAATACTATCTTATGCTATACTAGGTCAACTGAGACAAAAAAACTATTAAATTGAATTCGAAGAAATTGATGTCTAATTTAACTGTTCAATTCTCACATGTTTGCTGGGCTGTCCCCGGCCGCTGCAATAGCCGCATCCAAGTGTATCTTGCAGGGTCGTCCATGAAGTTGAAGAAATTGTGTGGGATCAGATTTCTGTGAATATAACATGAGTTAGAATTTGCCCATTGGCGAAGGCGATTCTACTTGAAGATTTTATTATATAAAATTACTCACGATTTTTTCATAATAATCCCTCCGACGTTCAGCCCGTCGACGGTAATCGACCAGCATCCCCCGAATTTTTTTCTCCTGCTTCCTGGCCTCGTGCCACATCCGCCCACCCGTCTTCTTCACCGAAAAACTCATCGTTCAACTCAACTACTACAATTCACTCTATCACTTGATTATTAACATGTAGATTCTTTGTATAACATTTATAAAACAATTGGAGCACCATCGATTGTCACATCAGTTAGTCATTATGGCAGCCATGTTGGTTCTGATGTTGGTTCTGATGTTGGAAAGGTAGATGTAGGGGGGGGGGGCTCGTTTGAACAATCTCAGATGGACACATACCGTTTTGAACACGTTCTAGGGAAAATGGCGACAATAGGGAAGGCGGTGGAACAGTGGGGACAAGGAAAGGGGGGGCTCCTTTCTTACTTTCACGATTGTGCATAGACTTGTGAAAAGTCTAAAGGAACAACTGTACATAAATTCAACTATACGTGAAAAAAACTGTCCATAACCACATCTGTCCACCATCCTTGCGGTCGACCAAACAGTGTCGGTAGAGTAGAAATTGCATTCGTTATATTTGCAGTCGATATTAAATATGGATGGCGCCATGTGTCAAGTTTGTAGCAGCGATGTCAGACAAGATATGAATGTTTTTTTGGGCTCAAATGAAAGAGCGGGTCGAGAAATGGCGTGCAGAAGTCTTTAAAGATGACAAATCTCTCTAAAGATGATGTCTGTTTTCAATTGAAAAGCGCAATTGTGACAACATTTTCCAGTGGGTTCTAGGAGTCTCCCCTGGTTCAACACCATCTTTAGAGGTCCTAGCACGCCATTTCTCGACCCGCTCTTTCGTTTGAGAGAATGAATGAAGATATGAATGTTTTTTTGAGCTCAAATGAAAGAGCGGGTCGAGAAATGGCGTGCAGAAGTCTTTAAAGATGACAAATCTCTCTAAAGATGATGTCTGTTTTCAATTGAAAAGCGCAATTGTGACAACATTTTCCAGTGGGTTCTAGGAGTCTCCCCTGGTTCAACACCATCTTTAGAGGTCCTAGCACGCCATTTCTCGACCCGCTCTTTCGTTTGAGAGAATGAATGAAGATATGAATGTTTTTTTGAGCTCAAATGAAAGAGCGGGTCGAGAAATGGCGTGCAGAAGTCTTTAAAGATGACAAATCTCTCTAAAGATGATGTCTGTTTTCAATTGAAAAGCGCAATTGTGACAACATTTTCCAGTGGGTTCTAGGAGTCTCCCCTGGTTCAACACCATCTTTAGAGGTCCTAGCACGCCATTTCTCGACCCGCTCTTTCGTTTGAGAGAATGAATGAAGATATGAATGTTTTTTTGAGCTCAAATGAAAGAGCGGGTCGAGAAATGGCGTGCAGAAGTCTTTAAAGATGACAAATCTCTCTAAAGATGATGTCTGTTTTCAATTGAAAAGCGCAATTGTGACAACATTTTCCAGTGGGTTCTAGGAGTCTCCCCTGGTTCAACACCATCTTTAGAGGTCCTAGCACGCCATTTCTCGACCCGCTCTTTCGTTTGAGAGAATGAATGAAGATATGAATGTTTTTTTGAGCTCAAATGAAAGAGCGGGTCGAGAAATGGCGTGCAGAAGTCTTTAAAGATGACAAATCTCTCTAAAGATGATGTCTGTTTTCAATTGAAAAGCGCAATTGTGACAACATTTTCCAGTGGGTTCTAGGAGTCTCCCCTGGTTCAACACCATCTTTAGAGGTCCTAGCACGCCATTTCTCGACCCGCTCTTTCGTTTGAGAGAATGAATGAAGATATGAATGTTTTTTTGAGCTCAAATGAAAGAGCGGGTCGAGAAATGGCGTGCAGAAGTCTTTAAAGATGACAAATCTCTCTAAAGATGATGTCTGTTTTCAATTGAAAAGCGCAATTGTGACAACATTTTCCAGTGGGTTCTAGGAGTCTCCCCTGGTTCAACACCATCTTTAGAGGTCCTAGCACGCCATTTCTCGACCCGCTCTTTCGTTTGAGAGAATGAATGAAGATATGAATGTTTTTTTGAGCTCAAATGAAAGAGCGGGTCGAGAAATGGCGTGCAGAAGTCTTTAAAGATGACAAATCTCTCTAAAGATGATGTCTGTTTTCAATTGAAAAGCGCAATTGTGACAACATTTTCCAGTGGGTTCTAGGAGTCTCCCCTGGTTCAACACCATCTTTAGAGGTCCTAGCACGCCATTTCTCGACCCGCTCTTTCGTTTGAGAGAATGAATGAAGATATGAATGTTTTTTTGAGCTCAAATGAAAGAGCGGGTCGAGAAATGGCGTGCAGAAGTCTTTAAAGATGACAAATCTCTCTAAAGATGATGTCTGTTTTCAATTGAAAAGCGCAATTGTGACAACATTTTCCAGTGGGTTCTAGGAGTCTCCCCTGGTTCAACACCATCTTTAGAGGTCCTAGCACGCCATTTCTCGACCCGCTCTTTCGTTTGAGAGAATGAATGAAGATATGAATGTTTTTTTGAGCTCAAATGAAAGAGCGGGTCGAGAAATGGCGTGCAGAAGTCTTTAAAGATGACAAATCTCTCTAAAGATGATGTCTGTTTTCAATTGAAAAGCGCAATTGTGACAACATTTTCCAGTGGGTTCTAGGAGTCTCCCCTGGTTCAACACCATCTTTAGAGGTCCTAGCACGCCATTTCTCGACCCGCTCTTTCGTTTGAGAGAATGAATGAAGATATGAATGTTTTTTTGAGCTCAAATGAAAGAGCGGGTCGAGAAATGGCGTGCAGAAGTCTTTAAAGATGACAAATCTCTCTAAAGATGATGTCTGTTTTCAATTGAAAAGCGCAATTGTGACAACATTTTCCAGTGGGTTCTAGGAGTCTCCCCTGGTTCAACACCATCTTTAGAGGTCCTAGCACGCCATTTCTCGACCCGCTTTTTCATTTGAGCCCAAAAAAACATTCATATCTTGTCTGACATTTCTGGTACAAACTCTGGTCTTCAATTCTGGTTTTCAATTGAAGTTGATTGAGTTGATTGTATTGAGTCAATTCTGACTATTTAAGCGACGGGCTATCCAGAACTCCCAAAAGTATTCGGAGAAAGTAAAAAACAAAAAAAATTTTTTTCACCCGGGGCCAAAGTGTCCGATCTTGGATTTTTCCAGGAGGAAAGTCGACATTCGCCAAAATCAAATTTTTAACCCTCGTCATTTGTTTATAAATAATAGCTTCCGGCTGACAACCTATTGCTCCAGTTCGATTCAGTTTGTAATTTCGCTTGAAACGAGAGTAATCCCGCCATCTCTCAACGTGCCGCTGCACTAGAAAATTCGACTGGTAAGACATTTCCTGACGATATCTCCAATATCGAGCCCTGTTTAACCACCTCACCATCTGCCCATCTGGAAATTCTGTCCTCATTTTCCCTAGGACGTGTTCCAAAACGGAATGTGTCCATTTGATATTGTACAAACCACCCCACCCCCCTCAAACTTTCGTACCCGCCTGTTCCACCGCCTTTTGTACTGTCGCCACTTTCCTTAGAATGTGTTCACACGGAATGTGTCCATCTGTGATTGTTCAAACAACCCCCCCCCCCCCCCGCCCCGCTACGTGCTTAATGTTCACCTCGTCACGCGGGGAGGCGGCGGCGCAGACGCATCGACATGGCCGACACCAAAAAATTCGAATGAAAATTCTCATCTCCATGATGCTAATTAATTTAAGAAAGGTCAAGGCATAGTGATTAAATTCTTCCTTGCTCCTCAACTTCTCCCAACCATAACGGTTTCGAATTCACTAAGAATTTGTCATCAGCGCAATGTATTTAATCTAAAACCTAATTACAAAATAGCAAAATTTCAATAGGGTCATTTTAAACACAGTCAGTAAATTAAGTTGTCACAAAGAGTTCATTTGTTCATTTATTTGCATGTTGTTTTAAAATCCAGAGGTATATTTTTAATGATTGTGATGATGCACATGATCTAGTTTTGGATTAACCCTCGATTTCAACTGCAGAAGAATTATCAAGTATGCCATTGTCATGCTAAACGTCTGGAAAATCGAGAAAATTGATCAATGAAAAATCATAAAATTGATTGAATTAAAATACGTATGACAAAATTTCAGGGAAAAACCTAGCGAATTCGTTGGAAATTTCACTAGATTCCGGTTGCCATTTCCATTCATTTTCGGCCGATTCTATAGACAAATTTCGCGGTTTATCCTTATAATTTCGTATTATAGATTTTCTTTTCAGTTTATATTAGATATTTATAGAAATTGCTCGGCTCAAATTTTCAAGTTTTTTCATTTTTTAAATGAAAATAGCAAAAAAATATAGTGGAAAAACTTGGAAAATGCAAGTCGAGCAATTCCTGTGGACATTTTCTATATAAAAAACGCGCCCTCAATTTTCTTCCGAATTCCCTTGGTTTTTCTATGAAATTTTTTCGTGCGTGAAAGACGGTATTACTGACTGCTGGAAGGAGAGTGCAGTCCAGCGGAAAAAGATGGCACGCAGTGAAGTTTATTTTCTTCTCGATCATTTCGAATGAAAAGTCCCTCAGCTGAACATAAAACGAGGAATGATTCATTTATAAAATTGAATTATCGATAATGATTATTTTACCTGAATTCTCACAACGCGATGTATTTCATTCTGAGCAATAATTTTGTGGATTACATGACTAACTTTCTTCATCTGCAATTCAATAAATCATTTATTCATCATCAATCAATCATCTTAATGATGAAACCGGAGAAAAAAAATCAATAAAAATTCGAGATAGAAATACCCGCAACACAATTTCACATTCCGATGATCTCAATTTTACTGTAATTTTTAGTTGATATTTTTCTCCATAAAAAAATGAAACATACCGACCTCACCGATAGTCCCACTGATAGTAGTAGTCATTACAACAATCGGTATGGATTGCATCATGAACCATGTGAACGCAGAAACCGTCAAAATGGACATTTTGTACCTCAATGGCAGTACAAAAGGTATAATCATGTCATATGCACTATAAATAATGAACCCAGACATGAGAATCATCGTGAATAGAACTGGAATGGAGTAGAAATCGGCGACTCTCTGGCACAATTCCCAAAGCTCTCCGTGAACCCTCCTGAGGTCAACGATTTTCCCAGCGACGGGCTGACGGGGAATGAATGACATTTCCGATGGCTCCTTCAGAATATTTCCCAGTGCTCTATTCAGATGTTGAAACCTCGGCTTGAGGAGATGCAGGACTAATGCATATTGAGTGATGGTGAAGCTGGCGACGAAGATGGGGAGGACTAGAACGAATATCCTGACGATTTCGAAATCATGAGAGATGAGTTCGATGACCAGGAGGATTAGAGACATGGCTGTGTTGAGGATTATTATGAGGACAAAATGGATATGACGTCTCTGGTAGTAACGGAGATCATGCTTCGCCAGTATCATGTCGATGTCCACGAGCTGATTGGCGACATCAACAATAGCTCTTCTGTGATATGTGAAGTATGACCAGATCAATAGCATGACGAAGATTCCGATGAGTCCCAGAGCGATCTCAATGACGTGGACGATCTCCGACTCGAAGAGACGGTCCAATCCGCTCATGTAATAGAGGAGATAGGTATTCAGCATTAGACAGGTGATTATTAACGTTAAGTTGTAGATGGTACTCGCTGACGAGCATCGGAAGGAGGGTATGTAGAGCACTCTGTTCTGATTTCTGAAGGTTTTCGAAATGTTTAATGTGAACGGAGCGATGCCGGATAGTTTGAACAAGAGGAGAGATGTTTTCAATGTGAATATGTCGATATTTGGGAACATTTCACTAGTTCGGGGTTCAAACGAGACTGATCAAGTGTATGATATTGAGTAGATTGGGGGATCCCGGAGGTAAGTTGTGTTGACACAGACTTGCGGAAGGTGTGGTATTAGATATTCATGTGGAGTGTAACGACCGAGAGGTTGAGGTATATCGAGGTTTGTTTGCTCATTGTGATTGATGTTTTGATAGTTTTTTAAATGACAAAAAATCACCTATTCATTCCAATTTTTTAATAATACATCTACTGTGCTATTTACTTCATGTGATTGTGACTAATAATATTGGTTTCTCAAAGAGTTACATTGCTTCCTCCTGAGCAACCGTAATGTCCCTCATGTGAACCTGTGCACGGTTCATCCGGAACTTGCGCAAGAATCACCAAGTAAGTTGCCACCGCACTAAAAATCTAAAGATAAGAAACTCATAATTCAAGAAGATATCCATAGAACGTAACATCGAATGACAATTTTCGTTGGGAACATGATCGCGATATCAACTGACCACTCACCGAATACAGCAGAGAGCAATCCAACGAGAAGACATTGTACGCAGTGAATTGTACACTAGGATGCAACAATTCCAGGAAAAAATCTTGAAGCTGATAATCCAACAAATTACCAACCCATTTACAAATCATCGATAAAGTAAACTCACCTCGGATTTGATAATCTCGTAGTCGCGGAATTGCATCATCAGCTTTCTCACAATGTCCGCGGTTTTGTCCATCTGCCCAAAAAAATAATAATCGAATACATCTCGACAAATATTTTAAGCTGATCAACTCACTTCAATATTTATTCTCGTAACGAGTATGCACAGCGAGATTATCGGCATGGTAATGAGCAGAATGAATGCCAGTGTGTTCAAGGTGAGTGGTCGATTAGGTTCCAACAAAATGATAAATTGTCTGACAACCAGATGAGTAGCATAAATCAACGCGCCACTGAAATAGGTGATCGTAAACAGGAGAGGGAGTCCGAAAAACTGGGATATTTTCGCTGTGAGTTCGCACAAGCTGAACCGTTGCTTTTTAATTGCAAAAAGCCTCGACAGAATCGTCCGTTCGCTGCAGGCGGACGTCTGGACGATGGTCAGCAGCTTCAGAAGAGCCTGATTAAGCCTCTTGAACTTGTCCTCAACCAACGTAGCGACCAGCGAATACTGAGTTATCAGACAGCCGCAGACAGTTGTCGGAAAGGTCAGTGCGAACAGGGAAATAAAATCGTTGTGTAAAGCTCCGATATGGACGAGAGCAACGTAAATGCAGTAGAAGATGTTCGTCCAGAAGAACAGGATCGAGGGATACTTCTTGCGCCTGTTCTTAGAAGTGTTCAGCAACTTCGAAAAGTTGGTTTCGATGTGGAATAGCTTGTTGAAGATGGAAACTACCAACTTGCATTGACAGGAGAATATTACGATCACCATGACTGCAACGATGTTTCCGATGAGAGCCAGGGTGACGTCGATGGTCTGGGTCAGAGGCGTCTTATTGATGTACTCGGTGTTGTAGAGCTCTGGGAGGGAGATGTAGACCAAAATGCAGGAGAAGATGATGAGGCAGATGTTGTAGATTATTCCTGGGAGGGAAATCTTGCAAGTGACTGATCGTCCACTCTCATTGAGAGTGGATTTCGTGATGTTAAAGGACACTGGAGCTAGTCCCAATAATTTCAGGATGATTAAATTCAGTTTTAGGATGAAAACGTCGGCCTCGGAGTTTAGTAACGACACACTCATTTTGGAAGCTTAACTACTGAAGACGTTTTGTTGAGCGATGGTGGATGTTTCCTGAATCGTGGGCGACCAGATGTACCAGATTCCACTGATAAATATCCTGGATCTCGCTATTTTCTTTGGGTGAATAATTAAGTGGTGATTGATATCTATTTGACATCTATCTAGCTTGAAATTGGGAAAATGAGGATCACCCGTAAGGACATACATTCTAGGGAATTTATTATTGATGGGTTTTTGTTGGGTGATGGCGGATGTTTCCTGAATAGTAGGCGACCAGATGTCCGAGGGCCCAGATAACTCAAATCTCTAAATTTTTCGATTTCTGAAATTTCCGTTGCTCTTAACAAGTTTGTTTGTCTGTCGGGACGATAATCTGTCTTTCAGAGTTGTGTTACGAATATCTATTTTTCCGAATGTAGTCCATCATGCCAACATGCTTTTCTTTTTCCCTTGAACTCCCCATTTTAAATTTGTATCTTTCAGTTAGTTCAGTTGTTGTGTTTTCCTCCTCTTGATTCATCATGTCAGTTTTCCTCTCGTCCCTTTTAATTCAAAAAACTCTTTTTAATTCATTTCCGTCTGCTTTTGAATACCTTACCTTTTCATCACTTCCTGGAGGTGAATAATCCAGTGATTGATATCCATCGCTTGTCATATCACCAATATCCGACAAAACGGTTTTGACAGACGTCTCCTAATTTCCCACAAATGCATAAAATTCAAATTTAAAATAAACGCCGAATAATTTACTTACTAGTTTCCCAAAAATCGTTGTCTTCCCCGGGACATAAATAACTCACAAAAACATGTTTTGATCGTAAAATACCCAAAGATAAATGATGGCATTACCATCTGATAAAACCGGTTTAACAGAAATAACAACTGATGCATCAATTAAACGTCATTAGTCCTGATGAATCCCAGCTACATCACACTCCCATGCACGAATGGCAAAAGGAGTCTACAAAAAATGATCGACTGGATGAAATGAATTCATGGCCAATCGATGCTCCTCAATGCAAACCACTTTTTCTCCTTTTTCGCAGCACACAATGTCAAGCATTACAATCAGCTAAGTGCGCGTTGATAGTTGGATATTTAAAAAAAACCAGCACAACCCAATCATGACATGCCCACAATGCAATTCCATTAGGCCCTATTATCCCACCGTCACTCAATCGATGCAAACCACTTCCCAATGGAGTACTATTTCCAATTTACCTCTTCCCTACCCCGGCAATGTGAATGAAAAAAATTAATGATGTAAAAGAAATACCTGAAATTGATGGATTGAGCATCGTCATAGCAACACCAAGTGCAACATAAAAATTATAGAGTCATGATGGAGTGAAATGCAATTGTGACTCTGCGAAAGCAAGTTCACTTGCCTTTCCCCCTTTTTTTGCGCGTCCTTCCTCTCATCTGAGAGCATGGGTGCATCCATTCAGAAAGTTGAAAAAAAGTGGGAGCTCTTTCGCGCCAGTAATTACCTGTCCTTGATGGGGCCCTGCTTCGAATTACTGAGGATTCACGGGTTATTTCCTTACAAATACAACAACAAGGGTGTCATCGTGTCATCGAAGTACGGATGGATATATGCAACGCTCATTTCAGTACTCTGCATAATTGTCAACGCTGTCGTCCTTTACATGATGGACATCTCGAAATCTCTGGCTTTCGACTCGGTTCCGGGAACGCTGCAGGGCAACTGTTACATGCTGCTGGCTGAGTGGATAGCCATAGTGTCCTATATCCTGAGCTCCAAGAGGATGCGACTCCTTCGGGACATCGCCAGTGTCTCAGCCAGCCTGTCTGCTCTATCCTTCAGACAATTATCGAAGATTATTCATGCCAAAGATATTATGGGATTTCTCTTCCTCATGGCGCAGGCTACGAACCTCTACTCGTCGAAGCTCGATCTCACTCTCAGCAAGGTCATCAACATGTACGCAACTCTCGTTGTATTCTTGATGGATATGCTGTACGCTGATTGCGTTCTCGTCATCGGCGAATGCTTCAAGAACATCAATGAGAAGCTGTTGACACTTAAAACGAATATGGAGAAGGACGAGCCGCATCTACTGAGGAGGGTTTATCATGAGAAACGTAATCCCATGATTTTGATGGAGATTCGGGGCATCAAGAGCCAGCACAATGACGTCAGCGAGCTCGTTCACAGTCTCAATCAGACGTTCAGTCTTCAGCTTGTTGCGACTGTCACTTTGACGTTCGCTGAGGTCACCTTCTCGTTGTACTTTTATATTCTGCAGAGACTTGGGAAGAGTGGGATCAATCTGGAGAAGCAGATATGGTACTCGTACTTCAGCACTTCGGTTACTTATTATACTTTGAAATTGGCGGCTATTGTGTGGGCCTGCGAGATTTCGAAGGATCAGGCTGTCAAGACCGGAATTATTGTGCATGAGGTGCTGATTGATACGGTGGACAAGCAAGTGAAGGAGGAGGTGGGTAGGGTTGGTGATTGAGGATGTCCAAGTACGGGTGTTGATGCAATCTGAGGCAACAGCGTGGAATATTGGAGGGATTTTTCAATTCTTTCGGAGATTTTGGTGTTTGGTCTGACAATTTCAAGAGCTTCCCTTGATTTCTCGTGGATTGTATTAGGTTTTCGTGTAGGTGACCCGGAAAAGTAATGAAGAAGAATTCCAGAAGGAATTTTGAGGAGTTTATGATTGTTCTGGAATTTTTCTCAAAATTCGATTATTTCAAAATCGTAGAAAATGAAATGCTTATTAATGAACTTCGTGACGCGAATGGGTAAGGAGTCCCTCATGATGGCATTTGGGTAAAGTGAATGTCTAAAGCCTCAGAAACTCAACTGTACGCACTACCCCCCCTGGACATGCTCAAAATCAATTTTCACCATTTCACTGGTGAAATAATTCGTGAAATGACGAGAGAATTTTTTCATTCCAGTTGCAGTTATTCTCCTTACAAGTACTCCACCGCGACAATACATTCACGGCCCGAGGACTCTCCCTGGACGCAACACTTCTGACATCGGTCAGCCATGGAATTTCTTTTCTTCACAACAGGTATCGTGTTAACGACTTTTTCTTGTGATTTTTTTAGATCGTCGGGGGCATTACCACCTATCTCCTCATCCTCATTCAATTCATGGTGTCTTCAAAGTCCTGCGGCTCGGTTATGGACCCAACATCGCCGCCGCGCACATGATTTACCAATGGAATGGCCCACACTGCTGATTATTTTTATCATTTAGTTTATGTCTACTTAGCCCTCGTAGCTTCTATCATCAGCGGCAATTTAGGAACTTGACTGTAAATTTAAGTTACATTAGACACGGCTGGAGGCGTTTGCTGCACGCGTTTGATACGTGTGATTAGCAGACGCCAGCCGTCAATGTCATTGCTTCGATGACGCCAGACTCCACTCAGAGATGTTTATCAGTGTGATTTTGTTATCGTCTGTAGTCTGGCAAAATAAAGAAATTGATGCGAATTGAAGCTGCAGTCGTATTTCTCGTGTTGTTTTTTTTGAGCGAGTGAAAATTCTTCAGAGATTGATTCATCTAATCCTATCAGTTGCTTTACTGATTCCTAAATTGGAAAATTACTATAACAATTTCAGTGGCAATATGTATTGCATCAATAAAACTTTAGCTTTTCATTAAAAATTCAACCAATTATGCTTCCATTATCATAACTTCAGTGCAGTATTCACGTCGTGATTGGAATTTTTGAAAAGGAAAATTATGTAAAAATTTAATAACTTGTTTTTTTTTTCATTGAATTTTGCATCTTTTCGGATAAATTTTGAAACAAAAATGGGAATATTTATGAAATTTCTTATTTGGAGATTGAATCGAGGGAAAAATCACAGTATTATATTCAACTGAATAATGTTGAGAAGTTTCGGGAATTACAGTAAAAATTCAGGTAAAAATCTCGATACATATAAAAAAATCTTAGAGAGAATCAAAAATATATAAAATTTTCTCTGCTCAAAATTTTTAACCATAATTTTTTCGTTTGAAAAAAAGGCGAAAACTTGCAAAAAATTGCAAGAAAAATCGATAAAAGTCATTGAATCAGCTCAGCTAATTTCTCAGTTATCGAAGCGCCGTACGATAACGCATGAACGAGATAGTCTGTAGCGTCAGGTGTTTCACTCGTAAAAAACCTGAGTGTATAATGAGCCGACAAAACACACAGAAACGACGAAAACAGTCGGGATTGATCACAGCTCTGCCCCCTCTGGCTATCGCACTTGTCGGCGAGCCTCTCACATTGCACTCCCGGGTTTCATCAATCCGACTCCGCCGGGTTGTTGTCAGTCGAGCGCTAGCTGTCGTGCGCACAGCGTGTCTCCGCCTCACTTGAAACGCAAGAACGTAACTGTCAAATTTATTTGAGAAATTGACTTAATTTGCGCGAGACCTCCGGCAAAAGTGTTGATTCGAATCGAAGAGGACAAACAGCGAGTGATTAATCTACAAAGTGGAATAACAATTTTCGTCAACAAAATTTAATCGAAATTTCGGGCAACCTTTGGTGTGCGCTGATGACATTGAATAATGGAATCGCGGGGAGGAAATATTTTTGATAAATTGATTCGGTGTAAGTCGCTGCTCCGAATAGATCACGAATAACAAGTGCAGAACAGGGAGATTGAGCGCGAAACTTGGACTGCTTTCAACACTGGGTCATGAGGTAAGTGGAATCAGCTGATACTGTGGCGTGGTGTTCACGAGAAAACAAGACGATTCTACCGTTTGCCGACGACGATGACATTGAAATTACGTAGATGCGTACAAACTGTATGATCCGGGAAACATTGAGTTTTGTTTATTAATACCAGACGCGCAGTAGATGCGTATCTGCTTTTATCGCTAATGACGTTCTCTCTTTTATTGATTCTGAATACGTGCGAAGATTCTATGAATATTTTTTTGGGATTTTACGTTGTTCTGTGACGTTACGAAGTTATGAAAGTATTTATTGCCTCTTGAAAGGCGTAAATGCTGATTTTACTTGAAATATTCATTTAGTTTTTGTCGAATACCTTTGGAGGGGAGCGAGATAGCGACATTGTCGTCTGAAACTTTTTTGTCCAGTGAAATGAAAGCTACAAAAAATGTTCAGATGATGAATTCGCTAGCTCCCTTGGATTCGGAGATATGTGCCGAAATCTCGAGAGTTGAAGTTACGTTGACCTATCCTTTTTAAAAGCCTAAAGGGGCGCTGCGATATGGTAGAAGTAGTAAATAAACAGTTGGTGCCAAAATTTTCTCGAATCGCGTGTGTGTATGTGGTACACTGAACGTATTGCTGGCAATTCCTATTTGTACAGCGATAATAACTGTTTACCGACTTCAACCTTCACACAATTATCATTCCTAACGATTAATGCAATTATGAATACATTTTTCATCAATGTTATTATGAATCATGGAGGTATATGAGGGATGGATGAATAACGGATTTGGAAAGAGTTGAATAATGAATGAACTAGAAAATTAGGTGAATAAAAAATTAAAGATTCTTGTTCTTCGTTCCTAGAATATACATAAATGGTGATTTTACTCCAAATATTAATTCAGTTTTTTATGAATATCTCCGAATTGAAGCGAGATAGCGAAATTGTCATCTGGACCTTTTTTATGCAGTGAAATGAAAGCTACAAAGAATGTTCAGATGATGAATTCGCTAGCTCCCTTGGATTCGGAGATATTTGCCGCAAATTCGGGAGTTGAAGTTACGTTGACCTATCCTTTTTAAAAGCCTAAAGGGGCGCTGCGGTATGGTAGAAGTAGTAAACAAACAGTTGGTGCCAAAATTTTCTCGAATCGCGTGTGTGTATGTGGTACACTGAACGTATTGCTGGCAATTCCTATTTGTACAGCGATAATAACTGTTTACCGACTTCAACCTTCACACAATTATCATTCCTAACGATTAATGCAATTATGAATACATTTTTCATCAATGTTATTATGAATCATGGAGGTATATGAGGGATGGATGAATAACGGATTTGGAAAGAGTTGAATAATGAATGAACTAGAAAATTAGGTGAATAAAAAATTAAAGATTCTTGTTCTTCGTTCCTAGAATATACATAAATGGTGATTTTACTCCAAATATTAATTCAGTTTTTTATGAATATCTCCGAATTGAAGCGAGATAGCGAAATTGTCATCTGGACCTTTTTTATGCAGTGAAATGAAAGCTACAAAGAATGTTCAGATGATGAATTCGCTAGCTCCCTTGGATTCGGAGATATTTGCCGAAAATTCGGGAGTTGAAGTTACGTTGACCTATCCTTTTTAAAAGCCTAAAGGGGCGCTGCGATATGGTAGAAGTAGTAAACACACAGTTGGTGCCAAAATTTTCTCGAATCGCGTGTGTGTATGTGGTACATTGCACGTATTGCTGGCAATTGCTATTTGCACAGCGATAATAACTGTTTACCGACTTCAACCTTCACACAATTATCATTCTCCACGATTAATGCAATTATGAATAAATTTTTTATCAGTGCCATTATGAGTAATTGAGTCATGCGAGTAATTGACGAATAACGGTCTCAGGAGACGAATGCGTGATGAATAAATCCGAAAATTGGGGGAAGGAAAAATTGAAGATATCTATTTTTAACTCCATTGTTGCCCCCTTCTCCTTCCACCTGTTATTCTCCTTTCATGTTCCGTCATTCAGGCGTTCCCTTTCATGTTCCGTGGCCGGATAATCACTGAGATCAATCATCGGTTTTTCTTACTTTAGTTGTATTTGACCGTGACTTAACAGGTTTTTATTTGGACTCTTTGGAGTCGCGCAGATGGGGCCCTGACAATATGATAAGGAGAAGAGGGCTGACATAAGAAGAGAGATACAGGTAATGCCTCATTCAGGCTTGGCGTGCGCAACATTGAGAGTAATTTCTCATGACTAATTACCAAGTAAATTAGTTAAATTTATATAAAATTATTTATTATTTTTGAATTCCTAATTCTTCTTGAAAATTCAAGAATATTCGTTATGCACAAAAAATATTGCATTGAGTTGAATTCTCAGTTGAATAGGCGCCTGAATTCTGATGATTTTCAAGCATTTGCATTTGCTTTCGATGTTCACCCAGAGACAAGACGCATTTTGAATAAAAAAAAAATTCCTCCGTTGAACTTTTTTATTTTCAACTTATATTTTTATTTCAATTAAAATTTTTTGGTGATGTGAAACAAATAATTAGTTCGTTATAAATACATTATTTAAGAGAATTCAACGGACGGTTTATGTGATGTGAATTTAACCACGAATAAAAAATGTATTTAAGTGTGAATAAAAACTTTAATTTTATTCAAATGAATCATTCTCCTGAATTTATTGTACAATTGAGATTAAGTTGATTTATTTTCATCTTTTGGGTTTGAATTATCCTCGGAATCGGTTGTTTTACCCTTTTCGGTGAGAATCAATTCAATTCGGTGGATTATTTTTCACCCTAAATTGAAAAGGGGAGCACTCCAAAATGAGGGGTAGAATACGCAGCAAGGGTTGATTCTTACGTGTGGTTTCCCGTGCATGGGGTCACTGATGTAATCAACAATTTTATATCGATATCCCATAAAATCCAATCACTACAGCACGATTATAGTAATTATTCAAAAAATATAAATATTGATTAAATATTAAAATGATGAGATGGCAGAATTTTCGAGCAATCATCAATCCTTTAGTGATAATTGATGGTAATTGAGGACCAGTGTAATGAGAGAAGATCATAAGTAAAAAGCGGGAGAGTAATTGTTAATTACTCAGGGCCATTCTTCAATGCTGAGATTTTCAATTGAATTTAATTGAATTAAAATTAAATTATTTGCAAATCTCAGGATTAATTTTGCATATTGAGTTTAATTTTTTTTAATGAATTGAGAAATCATTACAATTACCATTATTCTACACAATTTATTTATTTTTCCGGAATAAAATCTGTTCGAAATTTCATTCAAATCACTTATTTTCTGATATTTCTAGATGAAATTCTCTATCAGTCGATATATTTTTCCTTTTGTATGAAACAAACAAACAGTCGAGGGTAAATTTCGGGAATCTACAATGATTTAATTAATAGTAATTGAAAAATGTAATGATCTTGAATTGAATTTAAGATCAAATCATTTAAGAATTTTGTAATTAATTGTGCTTATTAGCCATTAAAATTTAGAAATTCTCACAATTATTAACACTATTTTATGCAATTCATTTACTTTTCCGGAATAAAATCGATTAGAAAATTCATTCAACTCAATTATTTGAAAATATTTTTGCGATTTTCACTCGAAACGAAATATTAAATCTTCGATTCATATATATTTGTTTTTTTACGACATTTATACTACGCGCAAGAGGTGGGAAAAAACGAGTTCTAATGATGTGGAAATAATCGGAATTACTTCGCCGATGGCATATTAGCCACCGCAACCTTGATGTCAACCTCCGAGATATTTTATTCCTCCGTTTATTTTGATGAGTTTTTAATCTCCCCCAGTTTTCACTTAAGCGCCACGAAACGCGAGGATGATAGGGGCGATAGCCTACCTCAACCCTGTCGGTGGAGATCTCGTAGATCTGCTGGATGATAATCTAAAAATGAACTGCTCTCGTATTTTTGAGTGTTTGAGGAGATGACGGGGTGGGGATAGACGACCGTTAGAAGAGCACGTGTTATTACCTCGGTTGTTAACCTCAATGAGTCACAGATTGTGCAAATGCGACTGTGATACTCACGATTTCGATAGAATATTTGATGAGTAGAATTGAGGCTTCATCACTATTTATGAAACTGAGAATTTTCTATTGGGATTTTTGGGGAAAAAGTAGGTTTTTGTCGATTCATTGAAAATTTTAGATGTGACGTGAATTCAGGGATGAATACTGCGGAAATTTAACATTTTTTGTGGAATAATAAATATTGGTGTAGCATATAAATTAATTTTAATGTAGAAATTTTTTATTCAACGACGAAAAAATATTGTTTCAACAAAAATTCCATATAATACCGGAAACTTCTCTAAATTTTGATGATCCAGATTGTTTTTACAATCAATGATGTTTCTTTAAAACAATAATCGTGTGCAGAATTAAAAAATTGAAAACATTGATTGAAAAAATATTAATCTCGTCCCGTCCTTCAATCATCAATTATTGTTATTCTCTCAACTGATCCGGTGCTAATTAATAATTAATTGCGGAGTCTCAACAGTTTAATTTTGTAATAAGGCAAATAACCATTGAATTCAATGATAAAAAAATAATCAATTCGCGCTGAAGCGAGCGACGAAGGAGAAATAAACATTTGGAGGAAAAAATTTTGAAAGAAACCCAAAAAAAGTTGGAGAAAATAATGACAATATTGATTGAATCATCAGATGTGCGACTTTTTTTGAATATTTTGACTCCTCCAAGCTCTGAAAAAACATCCAAACACATCAAAATGTACTGAACGTTATCGCTATTTTTATTACCAATTTTGGTTTTCAATATTTTTTCTTATTGCTGGACGTGTAAATTTGATGAAAAATATTAATCACGAATTTTTTTATTTCTCTAAACAATAAAAAATGCGTCAAAACCGTTTCACGCTGTTAAAAAATTTTGGCTGAATTTTCCGAAAAAGACATTGAATTTTATTTACGGAAAAAAAGTCAATA